CTTCCAAGACATCACTGGCTGCAGGAGGAAGCCCACCTCCTCCTCTCAAGGCACATGGTGGGACTTTGTTCTTTTTAGCCAACTGAGCAGAACACATCCTGGTCTCCTCACCATATGGACCCTGACCTTTCTTGTGTCCCCCAGCAAATCCTGGTTGGTCTTTGCTTGCTTCATTCACTCAGGCACATGTTAAGTGTGAGAACTAGCTTTGTACTTTGTTATTTGCATTGTCTTGTGGGTGGTGTGAAGAACACAGGATGGACTCTTTCTGATACAGGATGATCCCACTGAGCATCTTGTGGCTCCTCACCAAGGGATGTTTTTGCTGTGTGCTTGATGTCTTTGCCAGTGCAACTGCTTTGGGCCTTATTTCTGACCATAGGGAGTGGCTGGGTAAGTGGAGAAGACACACAGAGTGATCAGGAGGGGATCAGCCCCAGCTTTTGACTCGGCATGTGTAAATACAGTTATTTTTAATTTTTATTTTTAATTTTAATTTTTTTAAAAAAAAAGAGGGTGAGGGTGGGCAGAGAGGCACTGCAGTGTGTTGGCAAAGGTGGCACCACCTCAGTGGTGGGCAGTGAAGGAAGGCACAAGAAAGTGTGATAAAAATACAGTGGCACAGGGAGCTGTGAGACAAGGAGGGTCCAGAGATGCACATTCTGCTTCTGCTTGGCCCTGAATGCCATGTGAAGAGAGGCCTGGCAGGGAGTGTTCTTACTTATACACATAAAAACATACTTATGTGCTTAGTGAGGGGGGGAGTCACCCAGGAACCTGGTGCTTCTAGGCTGAGCAAGGGATCATAAATCACTTCTGGGCCACTCACCACTCACTGTGGTTTCCTTCTCTCCAGTGAGGCACTGCCAGGGGATCCAGCACCAGCTGGAAGTTGTGTTTTCTTCTCCTTGCTTTCCTCTAGTTGTTTTTTTTAACTTTATTGTACAGAAAGTGTCAGTCCTGGCATCACCTCCCATGCAAGGGCTCCCTGGAACAGCTGGAAAAGGATTTGTGCTGGTTTGCTGGTCCAGCTTCTCTGGACCTTCAAACACCTGAGAAAAGCAAACCAGGTGGGTTTGTTGGGGGAAAAAAAAACAACAAACAACCCTGGCACTAACTACAAGTGTAGGTGAAATAACAGGGCAGGGAACAGGGAGTGTGGAGGGGTGGGTGGGCCTGGCTGCTGTTGTCATGGTTTCCATATTTAATTAGCCAAATCACTTAACCTTATTGATGGACTTTGTGGGTTTAAAATCTCTCTTGCTAGGCAAAGGGGTCTTTCATTAACACAGTGGTGGTGGTGATGGGCTCACAAGTTGTAGGTTGCAGGAGCAGCATCTTCCACAGGAGCATTAAGGGTCCTTGGAAAATGAGAACCGAGACCCTGGCTCTGCTGTCCTGAAGGTGCATTCAGACCCTCTTGGCATCAACAGGATCAACCTCACCCTCTAGGGCAGCTCTTCACCAGGTGGGAATGCTCTGGCTGGGAGTTCTGGAGGTCACAGAGACAAGGATCCAGTGCCAGACCCTTCCCACGGCACCATGTGTGCAGCATAAGGTGGGAAACACAAACTTACGTGTTTTGCACCATTCCCACTGTTGGTTGTCCTGAAATGTGAAGTCCAGGAGAAGTCAAGTGCAGCAGAGATGTAAACACTGACTCCTTCTCATTGGCTCCAGGTATTTTTTTTTTTTCCCCTGCATAAAACTTTCCTACTGTTGGCACCATCTCCCCTGAAAAGACTGAATCCTCTTCTAAATGTGACCTTTTCTTTGCCCGGGTAGCAAAAAAAAACAACAGCAAATTGTGTTAATTTGCTTTAAAACTAGAATCAGGTGCTGCCTTGCAAACCAGAAAAGTCTCTTACCTCCACCCCCCCATTTTTTCTTTTCCCTCTTTCCCAGAGGTGGCCTGGACTGTCCCCAGCACTGTAAAATGTGTCACTTTTGTACCGACTCTACACTTGACTGCATCTCCACTAGACCTTGGCATTTTTTCATGGTCCAGACACAGCTCTGAGGGTGTTGGGAACAGCCCAGCACACACACTCAGTGGAGTTTTTCTTTCTCCTGGGCTTTTTTTTTAGTCAGAACTGCACTATTCGTTTTTTTGGGGGGGTAATGTTGTATTTGATGGTGACATCAACACCAGTGTTCCCTGTCCTTACACGGAGCAGCTGCTACTTGGTGACAGAGCACATGGAGGGGCCTGGGGCTGTTGTAGAGCTCAGTGAGCCCCCAGATCTCAAGAGGCACTGGTGTGACGCTGTAACTCGCTTGTGCAGCACCTTCAAGATGCTCTTGGACTTCCCCAAGGGAAGGACAGACCCTGCTGTGCATCCTACAGGACACTGGAATTACAGTATGTAAGGGTTCCAGCCTCACTCAGTGCTACTGTTACTACTGGGTTGAAGTTCAGTGATCCCTCAGAACAAACTGTTCCTTACATGAGGATGTGAAGGTGCTGGTGCAGAGCAGGGAACACCGGGCTGGAGACTATGAAAGGAAACCCAGGGTGTGGGATTTACTGAGCAGAAACCTGACAAGCCAGACAAGCTGGTACCAAGTGGACAAAGCCAGCTGGCCAAGAACTCATCACTTAGGAGTGCAATTACAATTATTTTTTTCATGCTTTTTTCTCATGCTGCCCGGGTGCAGGATTGACAAGAACATTCTTTGTTCTGAACCAGAGACAGCAAAGTAAGCTTAAAACACTAAAGCTGATGGTAAGTAGGAAGCAGATACAAATGTGCCGTCTTAGACCTGTGTCCAGCCTGCTGGGACCTGGAGTTCTGGATGACCTGAGATGTTAAAGAATCATTTATCTGAAAGGATGAAGCTTTGGGGGGAGACAGGGAAACTCTGCAAGTCTCTGGGTGGTGTCTGAGCAGTCATGTCCCCCCAGCATCCCACTGGGAGCAGAAGACTTGCCTTGGTGAGCTAAGCACACCTTTAGCCACCTGGCCCCCCACCCAAGGGGCTGGTTCTGGATTAAAACCACACACCCCACCACGCTCACCCACTGGTGTTCTGGCAACAGCTCAAAGGTAACAGGCAGGAGTGGGCAAGAACCATTGCCCAGACTCCCATCTGCCATCTGGCCCAGTGGCAGCAGGGCAGGAGCAGCTGGGAACTGGATCCCTGCAGCTCCACCCCAGGAGCCACCACAGGGGGTGGTGGGGGGAGCACAAGTGTCGTCCAGCCCCATCATCCGTAGGGTGCAGCAGCCTCTTGTAAGAGGGGGGTTTCCACACAGATTAGTCCTGGGTGGTGGAGGCTCCTGCCTCTTGGGATGTTCAAATTTCTTTCCCCTTCTCTCACTCTAGTTTACTTCCATGCTTTTTTAAGAGGCTCTGTTCCCCATCAGCTGCTCACTGTGCTAGAAGCATCACTTTTTCTCACAGCATTTACTCCTTACAAGAGCTTGTGTGACATGCCAGGTTCCCATGGATGTAGCTGATCAATTTAATTTTGTAAATATAATTACCTGACTTTAACTATATGGTAATAAACTATTTTTGCACCACCCTTTGCATGCTGTGCAGAGAGTTTTTTTTCAACACAGAGAACAGAGGCCAGAGCCTGAAACCCAGTGAACCATTTGCTTTTCTAGTCCCACTTCCCAAAGAAAATACAACAGGCAGCATTTTAATAGCAATAACATGTCTCCAGGTGTGTAAATCCAAAGCTACTGTACAGGATTTACTAGGGAATGTCCTTCCTCAGCTGCTTCCATAGTTGCTACACAACTGGTAACAGAAATGCAGGTTTTCTTCCCTCAGACCTGTGCCAACTTTCTCAAACAGAATAGAGCACATCTGCAATCTGGGGATGTTGCTCCATGTATCCTAAATAACACCTACAGATTTACAGGAATTTTTAAATTATGTGGCTCTTCAGAACAATCCACTCATGGGGGCTGCCTGGAGAGCAAAAACCAGAAGAAGCTGTTGAGCTATTCTGTGAAAATGTTTTATTTAGCAGTGGCCATCACAGCACTGCTGGATCAAACAAAACTGGGAACAAAAAAAACATTAAGACCTTTTCTCATTTTGAGAAGTTTTGAGGCACTTTATATTCAGTACAAAGTAATTCTTCAGCAGCCACTAATAGAGTTTTGAAATTCTTAAGTTTAGACCCATCTTTGTTCCCCCCTGAGCTGTAGGGACAGAGGTGCCACCTCCCTCTTGCTCTTCACTTGCTGCTGCCAAAGTCACCAAACCACACCAGGACATGGTGTCTCCACCTGAAGGAACCAGGGTTCCCTTCCACTGCTCCACTCTGAAGCTGGTGATTTGACTCCACCATGTCTGCTCTAAACACCAATTGATCCCAAAGAACAGTTTCTCTCTTTCCAGACCTCCCCTACACCTGCTTCTTGGAAGATGAGCTGTCATTAGTATCTGCTTTCATGCTGGAACTCTTCCTTGTCTTAAACTAAAGGAAACACCAACACAATCAAAATGTACTAATAATTCCTGCCTTCCTACTTCCCACAAATTTCCTTTTACAAACTTTAAACAATTAATGCAAACAAAAAAAACATAACGAAGGTTCTCAATCTCTATATATAAATTGTAACCCTCTTAACTGTGCTTTAGAGTCACTGATGTAGAGAACCCATAGGGCTACAATTCCATTCTGCAGTATCCCAGGTTGGAAAATGTCCATCTCCCCACTGAAACACCTACCACATGGATGTACTTCATCAGGGCCAGGACACTGCAACCAGCCTGCCCCTAGTTAAAGCTCTCAGAGGAATCTTATCATAGATATGCCCACAAAACAACTCACCAAACACGAGTCATTCCCTCAAGCACAGGAATGACCCACAGCACCAGACCCGTGCACCTGAGGCTAAAGAGCACTTTGCTTCTCCAGAGGAGCTCACCCAAATTACACCCAGACAGACAATACAGTGATTTCTGCACATCATAAAGTCCACGAATGCCACCTGTTCAGTACTGCCCTGTGAGGCAGCCCAATCATTTACTGTCTTTTCAAAAAAATTTGTAGTTGATGGGATTGTACTCTTCCCAAATCCTTTCAAACTCATCCAGAAAAGGCTTCACATACTCAGTGTCTTCCAGGACCAGCAAGTTCTCCCGGTTGCTCTGGATAGCGCTGGCGGTCCAGTTGAGGGAGCCCGTGATGAGCAGCCTCCTGTCCACGATGGCAAACTTGTGGTGCATGTAACCAGAGTCCTGGTCATGGCGCACCTGGATCCCTGCAAAGACACAATCAGCACAGAACCACAGACTGGCTGGGTTGGAAGGGACCTTAAAGATCACCCAGTCCCACCCCCTGCATGGGCAGGGACACCTCCCCCCAGCCCAGGCTGCTCCAAGCCCCATCCAACCTGCCCTTCAACACTGCCAGGGATGGGGCATCCTCAAATCCTCTGGCCAATTAAGGCCAGGGTCTCACCACCCTCCTAGCAATTCTTCTTAATATCTCATCTAAATCTCTCAGTTTACTTTCTTACAGTTTAAAGCCATTTCCCCTCATCCACTCACTACAAGTTGTCCCAAGCCCCTCCCCAGCTTTCCTGGAGCCCCTTCAGGCACTGGAAGCTGCTCTAAGGTCTCCCTGGAGCCTTCTCTTCTCCAGGCTGAACACCCCAACTCTCCCAGCCTGGCTCCAGAGCTGAGCTGCTCCAGCCCTCTCATCATCTTTATGGCTTCCTCTGGCCTCATTCCAACAGTCTTTTTTTCTTCTTCCAGTCCCTCCTTTGGCAACATCCAGTGACAGAGCAGTAAGAAGCAGCTGCCTTTTCCTGCTGCCCAAGAGTGGGAGATGAGGCTGGGCAGACTCACAACAAAGCCTCAGCAAGGCTGTCACCTCCTTTCTTCACTCTCCTCCCTAATTATTCTGTCCCCTTACATGGTAACAGGGG